CGTGATTTAAAACTTGAAGCGGGGCTCCGTTGTCAAGGGCGCTCTGGCCCGTCTGAAGCGTTAGGGCCATCCGACCATTCGCGGGAGTCGGAACAGACTTTGCTGGCCCCTTCCGCGTCAAGTCCTCCAACCTTCGTAACGCGCGTTCACATAAGGCCTACCTGTGCGTTTTCGTGTGCCTCTCCACTAAGGCCGTTCACTTAGAACTGGTAAGTGCCCTCAGCACTGAAGCCTTTGTGGCCACGCTGGGCCGCTTCGTATCGCGTCGCGGTCTTCCGGACCTGATCCGTATCTGATTGTGGAACGAATTATAAGGGCACGGATAGGTATTTGAAAAAGGTCGTCGAATTTCTGTCCAACAACAGGGCGTATTTAGGTACTGCGATGTCCAAGAAGGGCCTCCAGTGGAAATTCGATCCTCCGGCTTGCCCACACTGGGGCGGTATTTTTGAGGCGGTGGTTAAGGTTGTAAAAACGCATCTCCGTCGCGTTATTGGCGAAATTATTTTGACATTTGAGGAGCTTGCCACTATATTTTGAAAAATTGAGGCTATATCCAACTCTCGGCCCCTCTGTCCCCTGTCGTCCGATCCGAATGATTTGGAGGTTCTAACCCCGGGGCACTTCCTGATTGGTCAGTCGCTTAACGCCCTACGCGAGTACCCCTTTAAGGAAGTAAACTCTTCGCGGCTGAGCAGATTTGACCTGCTGCAACAGATGACTCAGAGTTTTTGGCACCGATGGTCTCTGGAGTACCTACATCTTTTGCAGCAGCGCATTAAGTGGTCTGACAAGACGGATCCTCCTCGGGTTGGAGACCTCGTGTTAGTTAAAGAACCTAACGCCTTGCCTTTGTATTGGCGCCGTGGGTGCATTGTTAAGTTGTCGTATGGATCGGATGGGGTGCCTAGGGTGGCCGAGGTTTTGGTTGGAGATTCAGTCTTGCAACGGGCCGTCGCGACCCTATCCCGTTTGCCAATCTACTCGCGGACATAAGTCCTTATGTCCGGGGCGGGGGTTTGTTTAGGCAAAATATTAACCGGTTGAAAATTGAATTCATAACGCGCGCTCGGAGCGCATAGCGCCGTAGCAAGGTCACCTTCGCCCCACCGCGCGTGCTCGCATTCCTTTTGGAAGTCGGGTCGAACGGGACGTGTCGAGACATTCTTTGTTAGGAACGGCCGGTTGATTGCTTACCGTGATTTGATTCGAGCGGTGTGACGACGAATTTTGTTAACGAATTTGTGCCGCGAAGAATAATCGTGTAGTCTAGAACATTAGCTTCCAGGTTGTCTAATTATTGAGAAATTAGTGTTTAATTGTACAGTTCCGTTAAACGCCTTAAAGGTCGCGATTGTTTTCGAAACAATTTGTTGCGTAGTGAGCGAAGGTGAACTTTGACCTACAAGTTGTGCCGCGTGTTCGCTTTATAAGTAACGGGATTTAGTTGCGTCTTGAAGTGAGTTAATTGTACGATAAAGTTAATAGACTGAACTAGTGAAGAAGAAAGAAATTGACCGTAGGTGACGCCGCTGAAGGTTACCACAATTTGGAGCGGTGCCGAAGTCCGAGCTGCTGCCGACTTCAACGGTCCAGTCAGTTCAATCATAATCCACACCACAAAAAACACCACCACACATTCACATACACACCTCCGTCCTGACCGAACCTTGAGACAGTCGTCGCCTCAGATACAGGTAAGTACTCTGTATTTGACTAGCCTCCCCATTAAATTGTAGTAGGATAGAACATTTTCCATAAACCATTTTGAGCCCCATACTTAGTTGTTCGTCGAACCCAACAGCTGGATGAGCCCCTGTCTGGTAGACCTTAGTTTGGGCAACTAGGTGCATGAACAATCTGTCTGGCCTTTTTTCCTACTATATTGGGGTCGGCTCCCAGTCAAACCGGATTCAGCTGAATACCAGTATTTTACGATTATGTTATAAAAATAAAAGTTATATTTGTAGGCGTAAACTATTTAATTCAATAACAATTTTGGAAAATAAAAAAAAACTCAAAACTATTAACAGAAGATTTACAACATAGGTAACCAATTATTACAAAAATTTGAAGAAATATACAACACAATTTAGTATGCGACAATAACCAGGAAGGTGAAAAAATATTACTTAATTTCAAAGCACACAAATTTCATTGGTGCCGGCAGGGATCGAACCCGGGATGCTCCCGTACTGTGAAATTACAGCCAATGCCAACCGCCTTAGCTACCACGGCTCGTATGCATGTTTACCAACTTTTAAACATTCTACTTACATTTATTTCTATTCTATTTTTATTTAGTATTATAATTTTATCTACAAATATTTAATTAATAAATAAATAATTGCTAATCTAATCATCATCATTAAACCCGTTCACAAGTCCACTGCTGAATATAGTCCTCCCCCAAGGAATGCCACAAAGCACGTTCCTGAGCCACCTGCATCCATCGACTTCCTGCATATCTTACCAGGTCGTCACTACATCTAGTGGGGGAACGGCCTACACTTCGTCCTCTGGTACGAGGCCGCCAGAGAAACCTTTTTTCCCCATCGATTGTCGGTTCTTCGAGCTATATGGCAGGCCCATTGCCACTTCAGCTTACTAATCCGTTGGGCTATATCGGTCACTCTGGTTCTACTGCGGATATCCTCATTTCTAAGTTTATCACGCAGGAAACTCCAAGCATAGCCCTCTCCATAACTCGCTATCCTAGAAACCTATCCAATTAATGTAATAATCATAATTAAACAAAATTAAAAATAAATACATAATCATTACTTTCATGTGTTATCTAAGGACAAATCAACTAAAAAAATCCAGGACCGTAAATAATACGACGCGACCTTGAGCTTGGTACTACAACAAAATAAATCAAACTAATAATAATGTGTGTCTGTCTGAAACTGTTTGCAAAAAGCATAATAGATATTTTTACGTAACCCGGCAAAACAACAAAACAAAAAAAAAATTTTTATATAGAAAGCGCATGCGTTTGAAAATGGTTCTCAAAGACTACCGTTGTATAAACCGCCATCTACTAAACTTTCTTGCAACTACGCTGCAGTAGGATATTCTTATTTAGACAATATCATAAATAATAATATGAGATATTATTGCTTATGATATTCCTATGTATATATCTTGTCAAGGTTAACGAATATAATAGAATCAGACCAAAAAGTCAGAGTCGAGTCACAAAATAAGATAAACATATAATCACAAAAGTATGCCACAGTAGCTTCCAAAATGGCGGGAGATTGGAATTACGTAGGAAGTTATAAAATATATAAACTTGTTTAATTCGTGATTCATTTAAGCAATTGTAAAAATAAAATTTAAATAAACGAATAAAAAAAATTAATAATTTCAGATTCGATTAATTGAAAATTATTACTGATTATTTGAATATTTTTACCGATTATTCGCATAACAATGAACTTTAATCATTAAACACTGCGGTAAGATACATAGCGATATATCATTGTAACAACGTCAGGCAAAAAAGTGGACTGGTTAATTTTTTTTATATTTTGCTTTATCTGTAAGATTTGAACTTGAATTGGTGATAAAGAACTATAGATGTTGTAATGAAACATAGTTAACTTCATAATTCTTTGGATTTGCGTAAAAGGTTATTTTAAATCTTGTGAGTACGCTTGTACAAAGTTATTGCGGTATGATTAATGTAAAACGTCAAAACGTATTTCTTAGATTTTTGTAGATTTTTGATAATGATAATTTTTGATGTTTTTATTAGTGATGGGTCAACTCGAATTAACTCGAGTTAGAGCTGCTGTACATGAAAGAATCAAGTGAGCCAGCATACGAGTAAGAGCGCGATTCGTTCGTTGTGGGCGCTCTTTGTGTTTCAAATAGTATTTAGTTCCAGCCAAAACAATTTGTTATTTAGAGATTTATAATAGCTAAGTTGTGTAATTTAATTTCGTTTATAATTTTTATTAATTATGATCATTATAGTTACGTAAGTCACAGACCTATTATTGTAATACCTAAAAGGGTGTTTAGGTTGTAAGATACATCATCACATTTTAAATTAACGCCAAATGTAACACCTAACTTACAATAATTATTTTGAATTTGAAAAAGTTTGAGTTTATTTAAGAATATTTTACTGTGATAATTAAACTAGATGTAGCTCATAGATAATACACTATAGATGTAGCTTATGTACCTACACTAATATTATTTCGTGAAGACTGCTATATAGCTAGTTTTGTTGTTAAATACAGGTACTTACTTTAACTAATATTAAAACCAAAAATACATAAGTATGTGATACATACTAAATATACCTTTTTATTTCAATCCTACATAATAAGTTTGGTAATTATAGTTATCCCAACCCACCAAAGAGCTATATAGAAAACAAATTCATAAAAAAGTTATTTGTAACAAATCCTTTACTCTGTGTCATACTGCTAACTCGAATTGCGTAACTCGAGTTTAAACTTGAATTGCGTGAATTTCAACTCGAATTAACTCGAGTTGCGAGTTGTAATTTTTCCATGTTGGCACATCCATAGTTTTTATCGATATTGGATATTGTGCGTAGTGTTTCTATATAGTTTGTGATATTGTGTTTTGTTTATAATTGATATACTTACTATTATTATTTTTAGAATCTCTGTTAAGCACATAAAAAAACTATTTTTCCCATGTACTTATTAATGTTAAAAATGAAACTATTCCCAAGAATCCCTAGCATAGTGAGTGTTCTACAGACAAGATGGTAAGTTTTATCAATATTTTGCTACAAATATTTTTATTTATATGCCAAAATAATTTTGATTGCATACTTACACATCTAATACATAATAATATAAATGAAGTAATTATTTATAATTTTGTGTATTGAATTATCATATCAAATAGATTTAAGTAAAAAAGAATAATAATGTGTAAGCTTGAATAATAATCAGTTAACATTGAATAGTCATTTGATACCTTAAATTATTTAATGCATATTAATAATAATGTACTTATTTAAAAGATTACATGGATTTTGTAATTTTAGTACAATCAATGTCAAAAAATGTCTAATGCATGGATCACCCAGCTGTGCTCAACAGAACCAAAAGAAAACAAACACAACTATTGATCCCGAAGATGTGTATAGACATGGACAGCTTATGAAAGTTTGGTGGGATGAACAAGGAGCAATAAAACCTCTTCACAGTTTGAACTTGATACGGTATGTTAGAAGTAATAGGACTGTAAGAATATCACTTTTAAAACTTTGGTTTTAATTAATGAAAAAAAGAGTAACATCAACAATAAAATAATATGTTCTCAATTTTAAAGCTTGTCATTGAGAACAAATGAAGAAGAAAGTTGACAAATGATAACCACAAAGCAAATGTTGTATGGAACATAGTCTTGTCATTAAACAGCTTGTTGTTGACAATCTTGAGCCAAGTTAATATTTTGGCTGACTTATCATTTGTTCTATGTGCTATCCTAATTAGATTTAAATAAAACTAGTTTTACGGATTTTATTTCATGTATTAACTTATTTTATATTCCCAACATTTCGAGCACTTTATAGCACCCACGGTCACGGGGGGGACTGAGGTGTATGACGTCTCAATGTAATAGTTAACCACGGCTACCTCCAGATTAGATAGTTCCCATAATTATATGAAATCATTATGTAACCTAATTAGAGTTCAAAGCATCAAAGAATTATGCAATCAGTGTATTCAGGGTGCTCAAACAATTAGTCCATGTCATGTCCATGTGCCATCAGTAATATGGTATCTTGGATGTACTGGAACACTGCATCACATGTCCCTTGGTGTTTTTTGAGCCATCACTTTTCAGAGCGTCTGCACTGAGGTAAATTGAATAATGATGATAATGAACAGCAGAAATAACAAATAAAAAAGCTGTCAATACATATATATCCATCTGTCCATCCATTACAGCCTATAAAAGTCCAATGCTGAACATAGGCCTGTTCCATAGATTGCCTCGTAGGAAGGATTTTGCCAAAGTTACCATGCTTGGCAGGTAGATAGCAACCGCAGTCCTTTATTATTTGAGTTGTTATCAGAATGCTGCCCATCAGTTTTAATACATAATATTATGTTCTCATCAGGCTAGCTTTTCACTATGGGATATAATATATATTATATCCCGAAATATAAATTATATCTCGCGATTGGCTTTCAAACTGTGAGATATATCTTTTAACTAGTGTGCATTCGTCATTGGTCATTGGATTACCCCCCTTTACCCCGTACACCGTTCTGCAGGGGCGCGGAACAGTGTGCGGGGTACAGGGGGCGAAATATAATATGAAAATATCGCTTGTTCGATTGAAAAAATATTTATAGCTTGAGATGTAATATATATTATAGCTCAGTGTAAAAGGTTCCATATAAAATGTATGGTGAGCGATATTAATTTATATCTCGAGATGTAATATATATTATATTATATCCCATAGGGAAAAGCGGGCTTTAAACTATAGACCAAATTTTCCCATGTTCCCATAACTCTAAAATCTAGTTTAGTCTACAACAAGACGGCAATTATCCTCATTCAGGCTGTCTATAGAGATTTTGATAATCTTTTATCCATATATAGTAAAAACAAAAATTAAGCAATATTGAAAATAACCCTGATTTCTCATTTCTCAAACAAAAAGGCTTCACTCACGTCATGCAGCATGTCTGCAAGTGTGGAGAATTTCAGGATACTCTTATCAATTATTAAATTTAACTATTACTGCTCCTTATTTTTCTATTGTCTCAAATTTAAATGTGATATTATTTTCTAAATGGCATGTATTAAAAAATTTCAGTATACCCTTTGTAAGAGATGGTCTGGTGCAGTGTTCTCCAGATGAAAGAGATCCTACTCCATTGAAAGATAAAAAAATATTGGATGTTGGTTGTGGAGGGGGCATTTTATCTGAGGTAAAAGTGTTATTTCTTTTTAAATAAGTGAATTTTTGACCATATGCATATCTAATCAATATTAGCATTAACATTGTCATCATTACAACCCTTCAAAGGTCCACTACTGAACATAGGCCTCACCCAAAAAATGCCACAAAGCACGGTCCTGAGTCACAAGCATCTATCGACTTCTAGCATGTCTTACCAGGTTGTCACTCCATTTTGTCACAGAGAACATTTCTTCCCCATATTAACATTGTGGTCACATAAATGATTTAGATATTGGAAGTTGTTGAGCAACATTAAGACTTTTCAGGAACTGACTTCAAAATATCACTAATAGAGTGGAGCTATTATATTAATTTTGGAAGGGATAACTTTGTATCCCCTTTAAAGCATATGGCATGCATGCATGTGTGGCATAGTAAAGGTTTTTATGGAAAGGGAGTAAAGAAAGCTAAAAATAAAGAGAAAATATATTTTATATTAATAACAAATGTTATAAGTACATGCAGCATTTTAAATTAATACTGAATCTACATAGACCTGTCAGAGTATGCCAGTTGTCATCAGCTTACATCCTACATACACAAAATGATGTTGTCAAAGTTGGCGGCTCCGTGGCTCAGTGGCTTAGCAATGAGTAGCTGTGCTTGGGGCCGCGGGTTCGAATCCCGCACGGAACAAAAAGCAAATCCTCCCTATGATGATGGTCTGGATGTTTGGCTTTAATGGAATAGTTATACTGCTAACTCATGAGATCTCTGGAGTTTCTAATGGTCACCTCTAACGACAATCACGAAAAGTGTAATGTGATGGATTCTCTAACACTGCCTCCACTCTGCAAGCCATATTACTCAACATATTTTATTCTTTATAAACAATGTAATTGAAGAAACATTAATGTATATATTTTTAGGGTTTGGCGAAATTAGGAGCAAGTGTTACTGGTATTGATGCAGGGAAAGATCTTATAGAATTGGCAACGGAACATAGTAAAAATAATCCGAAATTAGCAAATAATCTGCCTTCATATTTCTGCACTACTGTTGAGGTAATTTTATTTTTTTTAAATACATAAAATTTTTTGGTTATGTGCAGTATGTAAAACTTGAAGAACTTGACACTTGTGTTCTGGTAAATTTAAATCAATCAATTTCTACAATTTCAGGAGCACTCTCAAGAACGTAAAGATTATTATGATGCAGTTGTTGCCTCTGAAGTAATAGAACATGTCTACAATAAAGAAATATTTGTAAAGGCATGTGTTGAAGCACTTAAGCCTGGTGGAAAAATATTTGTTACTACGCCAAACAGGTCAAGAATCACCCAAATATTAGGAATATATGTTGCAGAATATGTTTTAAATATAATACCTCGAGGCACTCATCAGTATGATAAATTTATGACATTGCCGGAGCTCACTTTTTTGTTGGAAAGAAGTTAGTAATATATTTTTAATTTCTATGTTTTAAGCTAAACTACATGATAGATCAGTAGTGCATTGGTTCTGGGTATGGCTGCTACATTCTATATTAAATCAACTTTTTGTAAAGCCTAAAAAATATTGTGTTTAGCTTAGATTTTTTTAATAGAATAAGGGTGACAAGCGAAAACACTCCACTTGACCTCAGTGGATGCTGCAGCCTATAAAGATCCACATCTATCCCCGATTAAGAATCAAAATGCAGATGCATTGTTACTGTATTCGATGTTTGCCAATGATTCAATTTATTTATGTTAAATGATTCCACAATGTAGGTGAAATTCTTGTGTGGGAGTGGGGGCCTTCGGTCTAATCTACATGTGTAATTTAGTTTCTTCTTCATCATCATACAGCCCTTCGCAAGTCCACTGCCGAACATAGCCCTCCCCCAAAGAATGCCACAAAGCACTATCCTGAGCCACCTGCATCCATTGACTTCCTGCATGTCTTACCAGGACGTAACTCCATCTAGTGACGGGTCGCCCTACACTTCGCCTACCGTTACGAGAACCTTTCTTCGCCATCGGTTCCTCGAGCTCGAAGGTATCGACGAGTATGTTTATCCAGTACAACTTGTCTGACTAGATAATTCCAACTTCGACCGAGAGGTCAATAGACGGATTTAACTCAGATGGGCAGCGTTCGGGAGATCACAATATATTTTCTCGTCAATGCATGTTGCCAATGATGATATATCGATCTGAGACATGATCCTTCACCGCGGGCTGTATGTGGAAGCATAAGATAGACGGTACGGCACTATTTGTCACCCACATATAAACATTACACACACACTGGTGTAGTTACTAGCAGTAACTACACCAGTGCTATGCTTCGTACTGCTATGTTTCGTATGGTGAGTGTAGAGAACCGGAGACCCTTTTTACTGGAAAAGAGGCATTCCATCTTAGGCCTCACGGGTGACAACGCATCTGCATTTTGATTCGCAAAGGAATTTATCCTCCTGTAGATGTCTATGGGCCACAGCAACCACTTACCATCTGGTGACCTGTGTGCTCGTTTGTCACCGTATCCTATTAAAAAAAATTGATTTTGGTCTCGTCCAAATCATTCCATCGCCAATCAATTTGTTGATTAGAAAATATTTAAGTAGTTACTTAATATAATATCTAACGTAATATGAAAAATAAAATGTAAAATAATTTTTAAACTTGGTAACAATATTATAATAGGAGTGTAAGGGGCTGGAAACAACACCTTTACCAGCCCAAACGCCAACCCCACCTGCACGTGGTACACTCTGCTGACCTACGGACGGGGCTCTGGCGACCGACGTCTGGCGGGATAACCAGACAGCGCTTCATACAGGTAGAAATACCCTGTATACTGGATACAACACCTCCATAACGGGTTTCCCTACCTTGAGCGGGTAGGTGTTTTTGCGTCAGATGGCAATCGGCAATAGACTAATAAACCCCAAAAGCCAAATCTTTAGAAAAGAAACATGGAAAGGTTACGTAATGGATTGAGTTTCACGGATAGGGCGTCACCGCGAAACGACGCGCAGTCACATCGCCCTAAAACTGCGAATAGTATGCTAGGGCTACCGAGTCAAGGACGGGCTCGGCTAACGACGTTAGTCCCAAATCGTAACCTAAAAGTCCGCTTCGCTACCTTAAATGTAGGAACATTAACGGGGAAGACTAAGGAACTTGCCTCTCTTTTCAAGCGCAGAAGGGTAGATTTTATATGTCTACAAGAGACTCGATGGACTGGATACAAAGCCCGTAATATCGGAGAGGGCTACAAACTTATGTACGTAGGTGCAAAGCATGGTAGGAATGGCGTAGCAATTGCTGTCAAAGAAGATCATCTTGAAAACATCCTGGAGGTCAACCGTATTAACGATAGACTCATGTCAATAAAGGTACTGGTGGAAGGTGAGGTACTAAATATTGTAGCTGCATATGCTCCCCAAGTGGGTTGTAGCCAAGCAGAGAAAGACAATTTTTGGACTTCCCTAGAATACACTCTTCAATCAATATCTCCTAAAGAAACTACTTTACTGGGAGATGATTTAAACGGCCACATCGGAGAAGCAAACAGCGCTTTCAAAAGGGTGCACGGAGGTTACGCATACGGAACACTAAACGATGCTGGTAAAGTCATTCTCTCCACGGCAGCAGCCTTCGATCTTGCTATTGCCAATTCCTTCTTCGCTAAAAAGATCGAACATCTGATCACGTATAAAAGCGGCCAAACATCTTCACAGATTGACTACATACTAATCAACCGAGCTCACATTGGCCGTGTAACAAATTGTAAGGTTATTCCGGGAGAATGCGTCGCCCCCCAACACCGTATTGTTGTAATGGACGTGCTATTCAAACGACATCCCAAGGAAAAACCAACTCAAATTCCTGAACTCACCAAATGGTGGAACCTAAAAGGTGAGAAAATTCCCGAGTTTTGTGAACGTCTTGCTGATTTAAAGGTGTTATGGATGTTAAATCAGATATTGACACCATATGGGAACATTTACGTAAGTCCATTATAACTACTGCAAACAACATTCTTGGCCGTACAAAAAGCGGTAAAAAATCCGACAGAGAGACGTGGTGGTGGACAGAGAAGGTGCAAGATGCAATACGGGAAAAGAAAAATGCTTTTAAGACCTGGCAGTCCACTTTAACCCCAGAAGATCGGGAAAAGTACAAAGCAGTTAAAAAAGTTACCAAGAAAGTTATAGCCATAGAACGTGCGCAGTTCCAGAAAACGCTTTATAGTAAATTAAGCACAAAAGAAGGCCAAAAATGTATATATAAGCTAGCAAAACAGCGTTGTCAAAGCACAAAGGATCCGGCCAGGTGTAAAACTGTCAAAGGTCCAATTGGCGACTTGTTATATAAAGACCATGATGTCATAACAGCTTGGCATCATTACTACGAACAGCTACTATCCCTACCCCATCTAGCTGCCACACAACTTTCTGGAGTGGAAGTGAATGCAGGACTTACACCTCCAATACACCCTGATGAGGTAAAGAAAGCCCTACACAAAATGTCCAACAAGAAAGCCATTGGACCTGACGGAATACCAGTGGAGGCTTGGAAATGCTTAAGTCCACGCGGACTCGTGCTGCTAACCGATTTCTTTAACTGTATGTTGTTCTCTTCAAAAATGCCAAAGGCGTGGAAATTGAGCACTATAGTTCCCATCTACAAGGGAAAAGGTAGTAAGTACGAGTGCAACAACTACCGCGGAATCAAGCTCCTCAGTCACACCATGAAACTCTATGAGAGGGTAATTGACAGCCGCATAAGATCCGAGTGCGAGCTGTCTAAGAACCACTATGGCTTCGTACCTGGATTGTCTACCACGGATCCGATGTTTGCTCTTAACACGATTGTCGAAGAGTATCGCGAGAAAAACCGACCATTACATGTCGCATTTTTGGACATGGAAAAGGCGTTTGACCGTGTCCCAAGGGATACGATCTGGTGGAGCCTTCGTAAGAAAAATGTCCCCGAACACTACGTTAACATCATTGCCGACATGTACAGAGATGCGAGGTCAATGGTTCGGACGGTGGTGGGTGAGACCAGGTCGATAGCGGTCACAGAAGGAGTGCACCAAGGTTCTGTATTGAGCCCTTTTCTGTTTTGTTTGGTTCTGGACTCACTCACCGAAGCGGCACAGAATTCAGCAACGTGGACATTTATATACGCTGACGACGTAGCCATCTGCACAGACAGCTGCGCTCACTTGCAAGAGGCACTCGTGTCGTGCCTAGTGCTGAGTGTGGCAAAGACTCAGTTCATGTCCTTCAACGACCCAGATACAAACAACAGTCCGATTTCCATCGATGGACAATTGGTGAACTCGTGTGATCAATACAAGTATCTGGGTAGTATGATGAGCGGTTCTGGGGACTTGGAAATTAACATTCAGCACCGAATAGCAGCAGCGTGGCTAAAGTGGCGAGAAGTGACTGGTGTCACGTGCGATAGGAGAATGCCGGTCAAACTTAAAGGTTTAATCTATAAGACCATCATCAGACCAGTCCTATTGTATGGCAGTGAAACATGGGCCGTAACTCAAAAGAATGTGCATACCATGCAAGTTGCTGAGATGAAGATGCTGAGGTGGATGTGCGGCGTTACCAAGCGCGACAAAATCCGCAACGAGTACGTGCGAGGAAGCTTGGGCGTGCGCGACATCGCTGACAAGATGCAGGAAAGTAGGCTGCGATGGTATGGGCACGTGAAGAGGAGGCCACCCGACTGCGTAGGGAACTTGGCACTACAACTCTCCATCCCAGGTCGAAGATCCAGGGGCAGACCCAAAACACGATGGAAAGAGGTAGTGGTAAAGGACATGAGAGAGTGCGAAGTCTCCGAAAATGAAGTCGAGGATAGAGCGAAGTGGAGGCGTAAGACAAGAAAGGCTGACCCCACCACCATGTGGGACACATAGCCAGGAAGAGAGAGAGAGAGAGGTAACAATATTATAATAAAGAAACACTACAATTATCCTACTCCCGATACTCCACATTAGTCTCATTCTCTCGTAGTTTTTTTTCTGCTGGTTTCACTTTACCGCGTGTGAACTGCACACGTTTTTTATTTTTCATTTATTTTTTCGCGTTGCTCCAACAGTCTTGTATGTTTACATTTACCGCCTGTCGCCACGTAGCAGCGTATCCACTTTTGTGTTCTGGTTGGTAGGTTCATGTTAATTTGGTGGCTCCAAAGCCACATTTAGTACTCAGAAGTGACAATACATCTATAGCAATGATACAATCATAATTTATGTTAGAAGTTTGTTACAGGTCCATTGTCTGCAGTAGCTGCTTACCGTCTTGTGGATTACTATCTCTTTATTTCATCATCATCATTGCAGCCTTTCATAAGTCCACTGCTGAACATAGGCCTCCCCCAAGGAATGCCACAAAGCACGGTCCTGAGCCACCTGCATCCATCGACTTCCTGCATGCCTTACCAGGTCGTCACTCCATCTCGTGGGGGGTCGCCCTACACTTCGCCTACCGGTACGAGGCTGCCACTCGAGAACCTTTTTTCCCCATCGGTTGTCGGTTCTTCGAGCTATATGGCCGGCCCACTGCCACTTCAGCTTACTAATCCGTTGGGCTATGTCGGTTACTCTAATTCTACTGCGGATATCCTCATTTCTAAGTTTATCACGCAGAGAAACTCCGAGCATAGCCCTCTCCATAGCTCGCTGAGCGACCTTGAGCTTCCTCATACGGCCAGCTGTGAAGGACCACGTCTCAGTTCCGTAAGTCTTCACTGGCAACACGCACTGGTTGTCCAATTTCGTTTTAAGGTTTTGAGGTATGTCTGACGAGAAAATGTGTCGTAGCTTCCCGAACGCTGCCCAGCCGAGTTGAACCCGTCGATTGACCTCTCGGTCGAAGTTGGACTTACCTAGTCGGACTATTTGTCCCAGGTAAACATACTCATCAACAACTTCGAGCTTAGTGCTCCCAACAACTACCGGCATAGGTGTGACATGGACATTAAACATAATCTTTGTTTTGTCCATGTTCATCTTAAGACCTATCCGTTGGGAGACACTATTGAGGTCATTGAGCATAGTGCTTAGGTCCTCCAGCGATTCTGTCATAAGGACTATATCGTCGGCAAATCGAAGGTGAGTGATGTACTCGCCATTGATGTTGATACTGTATCCTTTCCAGTCCAGAAGCTTGAAAACGTCTTCCAATGCAGCGGTGAAAAGTTTCGGGGATATGACGTCACCCTGTCTTACACCTCTCTGCAATTGGATAGGTTTCGTACTCTGGTTCTGTACTCGGATAGCCATCGTAGCTCTACTGTACAAACACTTCAGCACTTCGATATACCGACAGTCAACTTGACACCGCTGAAGGGACTGCAGCACCGCCCAAATTTCGACGGAATCAAAGGCTTTCTCATAGTCCGCATACGCCAGACATAGTGGTAAATTGTACTCTTCGGACTTCTGTACAATTTGCCGAAGGGTATGTATGTGGTCCATGGTGCTAAAGCCCTTTCGGAAACCGGCTTGTTCGGGAGGCTGGAAGTCGTCAAGTCTGCGCGCGAGACGATTCGTAATGAATCTCGAAAACAGCACGTAGACGCGGCTCAGAAGGGAAATCGGTCTGTAGTTCTTCAAGAGAGCGTTGTCACCTTTCTTGAAGAACAAGACCACCGCACTTCTGCTCCACGCCTCCGGTGTAATGCCACCATGGAGGACGGAATTCTTCTGAAGGACTTCAAGTACCGGTCTTCCACCCGCTTTCAGAAGCTCCGCTGTAATTTCATCCTCGCCTGGGGCCTTACCGTTTTTAAGGTGCTGGAGAGCCATTCTAATCGCGCTCAGACTGACGTCCGGGATATCTTCGTAATAGTGTCGGATGAGACTCGCTCTTGGATCGTTAGTCACACTTGCGTGTGGCTCCAACGATGACGTGTACAGCTGCCCATAGAACCTTTTAATCTCACTCAAAATCTCAGGTGTCCCGGAAACGATGCTGCCACATTCTGTCTTCAGCCTTGACAGTTGGCTCTTTCTGGCAGACAGATCTCTGGCAAAGACTTTGGAGCCTTGGTTCCGCTCGATCGCTTTTTCAATACGAGCTGTATTGAAGTTGCGTAAGTCCCGCCGCATGCATTTGGAGATCTGTCTGTTCAGATGCCTGTATGCTGTCAAGTCTGTTGAAGAATGTAGCTTCATCTCCCGTCTAACAGCCATGAGATTAAGAGTGTGATCGGAGAGTTTTTGTGTTCTTCTGCGGCGGGTCTTGCAGAACTTAGCTCCGACCGCATGGACAGTTTCCACGAGCTTGTCATTCATATCGTCCACTTCATTGCAGTCTTCTAGGCACTGAAAACGGTTTTGTAACTCGAGCTGAAAGGTTTCGGGACTTTGGAACAGAGCGCGAGGGGGACGGAGCGTTAACTTCATTAGACGAGACCTCTCCAACTTAACGTTTAGGTTCAGTGTGCCTCTAACCATTCGGTGATCGCTACCAGTTTTCACCCTCGCAATCACGGAGATATCACTGAACAGTTGTCGTCTGGTCGTCATAATGAAGTCAATCTCATTTTTTGTCGAACCGTCGAGGCTCGACCAGGTCCACTTCCTGTGGGGCCGCTTCTGGAAGAAAGAGTTCATCATAAAGAGTCCCTCTTTCTCCATGAAGTCGGCCAGCTGCTGCTGGCCCCTTGGGTTCCGTTGCCCTATTCCAAATTTCCCTACTTTCAATTCACCGTTCTCTCTTGTGCCTAGTTTTGCATTGAAGTCTCCCATTAACACCGTATATTGGGTTTTGGAGGAATGCATGTCTCTAGAGATATCCTCATACATTTCCTCCACCTCCTCATCGGGATGTGCCGAGGTTGGTTCGTAAACCTGTATGACCTTCAGCGAATACCGATTGGTGATTCTGATTATAAGGTACGCAACCCTCGTCGACACACTCCAGATCTACTTATTTATCTCTTATTGATCTCTTTATTTATAAATAAGCAATTAACAATATTTTCTTACACTATTTTTTTAATTATTTATATCGACGCGTCTATAAAATACCAGATGGATCGAGAGTGGGCGCGAGCTTGCATCACTCTAACGGAGTGTCATATCAATGGTTGCGTGGTAGAATAATTGATGGTATATCGAGATACCCCCACTCATTTGTGCAGCATAAAGTTCACTGTAGGCGTCGTTCATTCTGTGAGTCCTAAGATAGTGTCATGGTTCTGTTCGTTGTGGTGGTTCTTCTGGTGCAGGCAAGGAGGATGGTGTTGCTAAGAGGCAGCCCTGTGTTACATTGAGAGAATTCACACACACATTTACTATTTTTTAACAACTAACCTTTCTTATGTATTCACGATATTTCCGACATATTGAAGATATTTTCAACACATAAATAACTCGGATTATTTGTTTGTTTCAGATAATTGCCATGTTGAGTTGACTTATGGAATGATATATTATCCATTTTCTAATAGATGGGAACTATCGAAGTCGCAACTTCTAGCTTTCGCCACACAAGCAAAGAAATTGAAATGATTACTCTATGTTACGATGTATTATATAAATAAGACATTTTGTAATAATTCTGTGTACAACTGTGAATAAAACCCATGTAATTTAATATGGCAATATTAAATTACATGGGTTTTATTTCCTTGCGGCTACGTAATTTTTGCTTTAATATTTACACAAAAAAGAATAAAAATGCAATTTTTTATTATCTTAACTTGCATATATATGAATATAATTAGAGACGCTGATTTCGAACGTACCTCCCTATAAGGTATATAATAGGAAAATGTTAATAATTATTATGAACTAATGATCCGCCTGGCTTCGCAAGGGTGATTTCTGGATTTCGACAACAGCGCCACCTACCGGGTCCAATTGTGATTCATAACAATCCAGGAACCCAATCGTTTGATACAAAAAATTTCATCAAAATCGTTCCAGCCGTTTTCTGGTTTTAGCGAGACCAACGTACAGCAATTGATTTTTATACATAGAGATAAAAATATTTTGTGATATTACATAGGCTGCACTAAAAGTATCGGGAATGGAATATTTCCACTGTTCCTGTCATATTAAAATCTTTTTAATTGAAAAGTCCTTGGTCTTTTAAAATTGAATACCATTTATTTATTTAAAAAAATATTCTCGGTCTTGTCACAAGGTTTTGTCAAACTTGTTTAGTCGTTGAGAAAATGGAATTGACTCGAGAAAATTCAAGAGCGATGATTTATTATGACTTTCGAAGTGGTTTAACACAAAAACAGTGTGTTGACCTGATGATTTCTGCATTTGGTGATGAAGCCCCATCCAAAACCACAATTTATCGCTGGTTTGCTGAATTTCAATGTGGACGTGTCAAGCTCAGTGATGATCCCCGTCAAGGTCGTCCAACAACTGCAGTCACCCAAGAAAACGTTGATGCTGTGCGTAAGCTGATTGAGGAAGATCGACATGTGACATACCGCGAAATTCAGGCAACTTTAGACATTGGCATGAGTCAAATAAAAATAATCTTGCATGAACAATTAGGTGTAAAAAAGTTGCTTTCCCGATGGATACCGCATTCGCTCTGTGAAGAGCAAATAGCGGCTCGCGTTATTTGGTGCGTCAGAACTCTCGAAAGATTCCACGCAAGATCCTCAAATGCTGTATACAACATCGTATCAGGTGACGAATCCTGGATATACGCGTACGAACCCGAAACAAAAAACCAGTCACGAGTTTGGGTGTTCGAAAATGAGTTAAAGCCAACAAAAATTGTTCGTTCACGGAATTTTGCACAAAAAATGGTGGCCGCGTTTGTCTCCAAAACCGGCCATGTTACGACTATTCCTCTTGAGGGACAAAGAACGGTTAATGCAGAATGGTATGCTAGCATTTGTTTGCCACAGGTTGTTTCTGAACTCCGTAAAGAGAACTGCAACCGCCGCATCATCCTCCATCACGACAATGCGAGTTCTCACACCGCACACAGAACAAAAGAGTTTTTAGAGCAAGAAAACATAGAATTATTAGACCATCCGCCGTACAGCACCGACCTAAGCCCTAATGATTTCTATACTTTCCCTAAAATAAAGAATAAATTGCGTGGACAGAGATTTTCATCACCTGAAGAAGCTGTGGACGCCTACAAAACGGCCATTTTGGAGACCCAACTTCCGAATGGAATGGTTGCTTCAATTATTGGTTGTGTCAAATTTTGCGGAGAATACTTCGAAAAGCAATAAATACATTTTTAAATAGTAATGTGTCACTTCCTTGATTCCCGAAATTTTCAGTGCCGCCCTCGTATTTTCTTTGTATCGGCTTTTTGTTACTTTCTTAATTATAACTAGTGCTTAAAATAATTATATTACCGTAAACTAGATGAATAAAAATGTTGGTGAAAAGGTGTTGGTGCTTACAGTATTTAGAAATAGTTAAGTAATATTATTTTTATAGCACTCATGTTTGTTTGCAAATAAGTAAAAACAGCTATAAGTACTGTTAGTTGTAAGTGTATGATATTTTCACAGTAAAAAGGTTGAAACTATTGTCTCTGCTTAAAATCCCTTCTCAAGGAATACCTCGTTATGTTTTTCATATAACCGTCTCAAACTGTTTTTGGTTCCGAAATTTTATGGGACTACTTTATGAGGGTACTTTTTGTTCGAATTTATATTTGAAGTGACAAACGAGCTTTCAGCTGCTAATAACTGGCTACTGTACGCCCATGGGCCACCGCAACCAACTTCAAACAAAGAAAGCTACAGAAGCATTGATATTGAGGACTAAGATAGAATGCCTCTCACCAGCCTGTAAGCACTGCTGTTTGGCATGAGGAGGATATACAAATAGGCATGAGGAGGCTACCAGCCCAGACAGACTCTTAGACAGAATAAGAGTGTCTTACTACAGAGTAAAGTACTTTATGGGTACATTAAAAAAATCACCTTTACTTAACTAATTTCGGAGATATCGCTTATTCACACAAACAAGTGTTTCTTTTTTTTCTTTTGTACTAAAAAAATTAATATACCACGTTTTTATTTCTACATTGTCATCCGATTCTGAGCCGATGTTCAAAATTTCAAGTCTCTAGCTCATCGGAAAGTGTTCGAAATTTGAGTTGCAAGATTCCACCCGGAACGATGCTGTACGCCTCCTGAGTAGTGCCACCATAGAGGACTACATTGAAACGTAAGTCTCGCCCAGGGTCGGATTAACCATGTCGGGGCCCTTAGGCAGTGCAATTCTCGGGGCTCTTTCCAGCCAGCGTGAAGGGATGTGTGTAATAGCATCAGCAGCATCACCAAACTGATGCTTAACTGCTCAAAAAGGGAATTGCTCAGTTTGTTCTTATACTTGAGTACATTGTCTATTTATTTCATACCTTTCCTACCAACCGAGGTTATCTGCTAATACAGTACGCGATTATACATGGAGAAAGTAACCTCAGTTCGTAGGAAAGGTATGAAATAAATAGACAATGTACTCGAAGTATAACTCAATAATTATACATCTAATTAAAATCTCTACAGGACCATCAACTATAAATGAAAATGGGCAAAATTGCTCAGTTTCATTGGCAAAAACAGTTTAGTAAATTCGGGGATTCCACTAAAATTTAAATCACAAGACGAGCCTCCCTGTGAGTGTGGCAGGGGTGTGGGCCATATGAAATCGCTTATGCCTTTCGTAAGCATTTTATGGTCGAGCCTCCAGTACTTAATACTGAGAGGGTGACCGATGCTCGGGCTTCCTATCCGGGTGGCTCCCAGATAGGGTTCTCGGCTAAGATCATTAGAGACAGTGCAACAAATGTAAGAGGGAAATCACCCGGTTATGATGGTTTGAGCATTGAACACCTGAAATATGCTGGTGTTCACTTACCCCGCTATGTTGCTATGTTTTATAGTTTATTTTTAAGTCATAGTTACTTACCGGTGGAGCTTATGAAAACTGTTGCAGTGCCTATTATTAAAAATGAGACGGGGTATGCCTCTGATATTTCGAATTATATGTCAATATCATTCTCCACTATTATGTCGAAAGTACTGGACAGACTGCTTGATAACATATTAGTGTAGTATTATATACCACACTGCCAGAAAAACGCCAGTAATCGCATGTTTTTTGATACATTTTTGGAGTGGGCAAACGAGCATGCGGCTCACCTGATGGTAAGTGACTACCGCCGCCCATAAAAAACCGCAACACCAGGGGAATTGCAGATGCGTTGCCGGCCTTTTAGAAAGGTGTAAGCTCTTTTCTTGAAGGTCCCTAAGTCGTATCGGTTCGGAAAAATCGCCGGTGGTAAACAATTCCACAGAGAAGTTGTACGAGGAAGAAAACGTACAGTCGTGGACCGCCAAGCATCCAGATGTAGGATGATATCGTGAATTTTGACGCGATGTGCGTTCGTGAAATTTGGCGGCTGGAATTAATCCGACCAATTCCTCAGAGCACTCCCTGTGGTAAATTCGATAGAAAATGCAAAGGGATGCAACATCAGTGCCAGCGTATCGAGCCGATCAGAAAGAACTCGGTCGTCGACGATTCGAACCGCTCTGCGCTGGATGCGGTCAAGTGGAAGGAGCTGGCACTGGGGTGCCCCGGCCCAGAGATGAGAACAGTATTCCATGTGAGGACGAACTTGTGCTTTGTAAAGTTGCTAGCGATGTGCCGGCATGAAATACTGTCTCGCTCTGCTGAACACGTCAAGCTATTTAGAGGCCAATTTGGCCTTCCCTTCCAAGTGACCACGAAACTGCATACTATTCAATATGTCGACTCCGAGGATTCCGATGCTAGCTGAGACAGCAAGGGGAGTGCCTTGAAACTGAGGAGATACGACAAAGGGGTTCTTTTTAGCGGTAAACGCGCAAACTTGTATCTTCTGGGGATTGAACTGGACTAGATTTAGTCACCCCCAATCCGAGACTTTATTCAGCAAAGACTCAACTTCAGACACAAGTTTGTCCCGGTACTCGGCGACGTTTTCCCGAGAAATATTAGCGCGGCCGGTATATAAGGCATCACCAGTGCTGTCGTCTGCATAGCAATGAATGATACCAGTTTGCAACATATCATTGATATGCAAGAGAAACAGCGTTGGTGAAAGCGCGCAGCCTTGTCGAACACCAGCGTTGATAGGTTTGAAATCAGAGCATGCACCGTCTACTACGACCTTGATGCTCAGGAATTGTGCAAATGGATCATCAGCTCAAGGAAACTGATGATCCATTTGCACAATTTCTCGGGAAGCCCATAGGAAGGAAGCTTCGAAAGAAGCGCTTTGTGCCAGACCTGATCGAAGGCCTTCGCAATGTCCAAACTAACGGCTAATGCCTCCTCCTTGGACACTACTGCCTCCGCCTATCTATGAGTCAGGTAGACCAGAAGATCACCAGCTGATCAACCCCGACGAAAACCGTACTGGCGGTCACTAATCACCTGGTGATCCTCAAGGTACCTCATGAGCTAGCAGTTTATATTGGAATCCATTATATTGGAGAACAAGGAGGTGATGGCGATAGGCCTGT